ATTGGGGAATGAGAGAGTATTTCACCTTTTTACTTTTTGGCATTTTGTATAGTGTATATTTTCTTATTACAATAGCATTTATTGCTTTTGTAATTAAAAATAATAAATTCACAAAAAGAAAATAGAAAAAAAAAATAACAGAACAAATATTTCTGTGAACTCAATTCTCCAAAGGCAGAACTTTATATATCTTCAATTCCGAGCTCAATACCTGGGAAACGGGAGTCATTTAACAAATGTGTTCAACGAAGGGACCCTTGCTTATTCCAGTTTGTGCTCCCATGACCAGGCTGGCCAAGACTTGGGCAGAAGCAATAAAATATGACCTGAGAGCCCACAGAGCAATTCTCTTCCTTTTTCGCCAGTTTGGTCCTCAAATTTCCTTTTTCCTCCTTTTTCCTGCCCCTGACACTTTCTACTCACATCCTGCTCGGCCCAGTCTCTAACCAATTTCGGAAAGATCTGAATATATACTGAAGTCCTGGACCAGACAATTTTTTTTTTTGTGAGGAAGATCAGTCCTGAGCTAACATCTGCCAATCCTCCTCTTTTTTTTTTTTTTTTTTGCTGAGGAAGACTGGCTGTGGGCTAACATCCATGCCCATCTTCCTTCACTTTATATGGACACCGCCACAGCATGGCTTGCCAAGAGGCGTGTCAGCGAACGGGATCCGAACTGGCGAACCCCGGGCCGCCGCAGTGGAACGCGTGCACTTAACTGCTTGCACCACCGGGCCGGCCCCTTGGGCCAGACTTTTTAGCCAACTGAACTCTCACTTGGTCTGTTTATTAGTCCAATGTGTTTATTTCACTCTTCGTTTTTTTACCCTGTCTTTACTTCTTATTTTTTGCTTGTAATTTGTTTGATATTTTCCTCCACTTCCTAACTTCAAAACATATTACAAGTTCCAATATTCAAAACAGTATGGTACTGGTATAAAGACAGACACATGGACGAATGGAACAGACTAGAGAGCCCGGAAATAAATTCACGTGTATATGGTCAAGTGATCTTCAACAAGAGTGCCAAGACTACAAAATGGGGAAACAATGGTCTCTTCAACAAATGGTGTTGGGAAAACTGGATATCCATATGCAAAAGACTGAAATTGGGCCCTTATCTTATGGCAAAAGCAAAAATCAACTGAAAATGGATTAAAGACATAAGATCTGAAACTATAAAATTCCTAGAAGAAAACTTGGGGGGGAGAGCTTTATAACATTGATCTTGGAAGTTATTTCCAGGTTGTGACACCAAAACACAGGCAACAAAAGCAAAAATAGACAAGTGTGACTACATCAAACTAAAAAGCTTCTGCATAGCAAAGGAAACAACCAACAGAGTGAAAAGGCAACCTATGGTATGAGAGAAAATATTTGCAAACCAAATATCTGATAAGAGGTTAGTATCCCAAAATATATAAGGAACTCCTACAACTCAGTAAAATAAAAACCTGATTAAAAAATGGCCAAAGGACTTGAATAGACATTTATCCAAAGAAGACATACAAATGGCCAACAGGTAGGTGAAATGATGCTCAACATCATTAATCATCAGGGAAATGCAAATCAAAACCACAATGAGGTGTCCCTTCACACCTGTTAAGATGACTGTTATCAAAAAAAAAAAAAAAAAAAAAAACCAGCAAGCATTGGGGAAGATGTGGAGAAATTGGAACCCTTGTGCATTGTTAATGGGAATGTAAAATGGTGCAGCCACTATAAAAAACAGTATGGAGGTTCCTCAAACAATTGAAAACAGAACTACCACATGATCCAGCAATCCTATTTCTGGGTATTTATCCAAATGTATTGAAAACAGGATCTCAAAGAGATATTTGCACTCCCATGTTCAATGCAGCATTATATTCAATAGCTAAGAAGTGGAAATAACCTAAATGTCCACTGACAGATAAATGGATATAAACAATGTGAAACACACACATAACCTGGAATATTTACTCAGCCTTAAGAGGGAAATTCTGTCACATGCTACAACATGGATGAGCCTTGAGGACATTATGCTAAGTGAAATCAGACAATCACAGAAGGACAAATAGTATATGATTCCATTTATATGAGGTGTCTAAAATAGTCAAAGTCATAGAGTCAGAAAGTTGCCAGAGGCTGGGGGAGAAGGAAATGGGGAGTAGCTGTTCAATGGGTCTAGAGTTTCCACCAGGTAGGATGAAAAAATTCTAGAGATTTGCTGTACGACAGTGTGCATCTAGTTGACAATGCTGTACATTTAAAAATTTGTTGAGGGTAGAGTTCATGTTCTTTTTTTTTTTTTTCACTACAGTAAAAAAAAAAAAAAAGCCTTCCAATCCATAAAAAAAAAAAGAAAGAAAGAAACTTAGGACGTATATCCAGTCATTGTTCATTGTATTCCTACCATTTTAGCTGGTTTTGAAAAACCTGGTATTTCACAATTGAAGAGAGACTACATGGAAACTTAGAAGTATATTTTTAAGGATCTAGTCAGAAGTAGAGAATTTGCCATAAATAGGGGAGAGAATACAAATACCTTGACTTTACCACTGCCTACCCTTTTTCAGGAGGCAGCACTGCATTTCAGAAAACTCTTAAGGTTTTAGTCCAGCTAAAGGTAACACACTCTTTCCAAATACCTGCCATGCCATGTCATTAGACAAACTTGCAAGGGTGGTGGACATCTTTTGCAGGAACAAAATTGCAAGGATGGTGGTAACATCCTTTCTACAGTTCAGCCTGGTCAAACAATGAAATGGGGATGGATTTGCTTGTTTTTCCCAATGACAGACAATCTCAGTCTCAATCCCTCTCTCTCTCTCTCAGTTCTCTTCTGGTTGCTCTCTTGCTTTCTTTTAATAAGCTATTAGAAAAACCTGCAGTTCAACCTTTTCTTACATGTAGGTAGAATATGTTACCCATGGTTTTCAAAACCCTAACTGGATAATTTGGTGAATGTTTGTTTGAAGACATTTTTGCTACTCAGTTGTGATCTTGTCATAAATTTGATTCCTATGCCTGTCTCCTTGACATCAATGTATATGCCATGGCCAAGGTTGTATCAGATTGTATCAAGGTTGTAACAGTCACTATCCTGGACATGTAAGAATAAATCTAGTCAGTTCCCAAAGCCTTTCTTCTTTTGAATTTGCTTTGCAGTTAGTTCAGGTGATGATTTTATTTACTTTTTTTGGTTCTTTTTAGCAATTTTTCCAATGTGATTTTTTAAAATCACTAAGCTCTGCAAACTTCTTGAGGGCAAGGGCTTGATCTGTCTCCATCACCTCTGCATCCTCAGAGTCCAGAGCAGTACCAGGCACACAACAGAGGCACAGCAGAAATATGTTGAATAAATGAATGCATAACTAAATATTTACATAAAAATTATGTGGGTTACCTTAATTTTGTATTGGACTTTTAAAAATCATTTCACTTTAAATTTGTGTTCTGTATCTAAGAAAAAGCTGGAAATTGCATTTCAAAAAAAGATATTAGATTCTACGTAATATCTTTCTCTTTTGCTTTTGCTTTCATAGAAAAACGAATAAAAATACTAAGTACCTTCTTTATTTCTTTTTAAAACTCCTGAAATTCTCTATACCCCAAGAATTTTTCTTCAAGGTAATGTTAAAATTATTAAACATATTAGACTGAAAAATCAGATTTCTCTTTTATCTTGATGCAAGCTTAGTATTTGCTGTATTTTAGGTCTAATGGTTATAAAAAGTATCCATTATGAGCAGGGAAATGAAAGGTAAAGGGCTGGCAATAATTGATTCAGGATAGATCAATAGATAGGTAATTAGATAATTTGGACAATTAGACGGTCTTGGTTGGAATAAACTCATATTATTCCTTATTGTTCAACCGGCAAGAAACTCAGCTAGTTTAGTACCAATATAAATTTAGATGTTTGTTACTATTTAGTCTTGTCTTCATTATATATTGGTAAATTTATAAATACCTAAGTGGAAGGGGAAACATAATTGTTTAGTTTGTTTTTTACCCAGCAAAGTGCTTTGAAAAACATAAGATTTGGTGGTTTTGTGTGCATTTCCTGTTGATTTTTGAAGCCATGCCACATGAAAGAAAAGAATATTTTTCCTTTAGTGGCCACTGTGTAATATGTTATTAGGAACTGATTTGGCTTACTAGGTTTAAAGAAACACAAAACTATGAAAAGCTCTCCATGGAATACTCATGAAGATTGAAATAATTGGCGATGAGGTAATTGGAGTTTCTAAAAAGATTGGAAACATTTTGATATACATATATATTACTATAAAAGAACAATTTTAAACAATTTATAATTAAAGCTTCATGTACAAATTATTGTATTGTTTCTATTAATAAAAGCACAAATATGAAGCAACCTAACTCTCCAAAACAGGGAAATTTTATTTAAATACTCTATTCAGGAACTATATTAGGTGCTTTACATAGATTACGTTGTTTAATTTTTAGGATAAATTTACAAACTGAGTACAGTCAGCCCTGCTTCATGATTAAGCAGTTGAATTCCCAGAGGTTAAGTCATTTTTCCAAGGCCGTATTACTGGTAAACAGCTGAGTCGAGATCACAATGATCTTTCCCCTAAACCGCTCAGTGGATGATGCAGCCGAGAAGGTTTGAGGCTATGCAGTGACTTAGGAAGTAGCAACATGGAAAGATGCCAATGATAAGTGGAAAAGCTGGATATAAAATTGCACATATGTTGCAATTACAACTTAAGACATGTTTGAATAAAACATCAGAGTAAAATATTATAAAGATTTTAGTGCTTATGTTAGACTGTGGTGGAATTTGGGGTAGTGTTTTTCCTTTATTTTCTAAAATATCTACTGTTGTGGATAAGTTACTTTCAAATTAAAGTATTGTTAAAATAGAGTGACTGTAGCATCAGTTTAGTTCATCAATCAAAGTATCTGAAAATCTTAACGTTTTTGGTATGTTTCTGAAAGATTGCATGGTCGTTTGAGTTTGCATTAATTTTATTTTTAAATTCCAGATCATCAAGTTATTGGATGGAAAACGATCTCAAACTGTGGGAATCTTGATATCTAGTTTGCATTTAGAAATGAAGGATATCCAGCAGGGTAAGTCTTCTCCATTACTTTTTTTTCCAACTTTTAAATTTTTCAGGATTTTATTGTGCAAAATTTCAAACATATAAAAATTTAGAATGCCATAGTGAATCCCATGTACCCAATACCCAGCCACAAAACCATCAACTCACTCTTGTTTCCTCTGAAGCACCCTCCCTCCACCAACTAGATTATTATGAAGCAAATCTCAGCCATTTTGTAATTCATATGTTAAAAATGTTAGTACAATGCTAAAAGATAGAGATACTTTTTCAAGCATGACTCCAGTGCCATTATTATGCATTTAAAAACATTTACAGTAATTTCTCAATGTCATCAGATATGTAGTTCTAATTTCTCTGTTCATATACTCACTAATTCATCCATTTGTTTACAGTTAGTTTGAATGAGGATCCAAACCAATTTCATGCATTACCTTTGATGTGTCTCTCAGGTGTCTTTTAATCTAGAAGTATCTACCCTTCATTTTTTTTTTAGTTTGTAACTAATCTTTTGAAGATAGCAAGTCACTTGTCCTGTGGAGTTCCCCACATTTTAGATTTTGGTCATTGCATTGCCAAGTTTTTATTTATTATGTTATTCTGTCCCCTGTGGTTCCTGTAAACTGTTAGTTTGATCTAGAGACTTAATCTGAGTGACAGGAGAGTACTTCATAGATGCTGTTGTATATTCTATCAAGAAGTATATAATATCTGGTTGTCTCTTCATGATGTTAGTGGGCACTAATGATCTTTGCCTAGTCATTATTGTTAGAAATTTGCAAAATAATGCTATGCTAATTCCATCATTTCTTCTTTATCAGCTGGAATACTTCTACGGAGAAACACTTTCTTTCTTTATCCACTTAGTTGTGTCATTGTTTCTTAATCCCTTCATCTTTTCAAATGATGCTATTTCAACTTGGTTATCTTTGGCTCAATTTGAAATAAGATATTTAAAGACAGGAAATTTTACTTTTATATTTTTTTCTTAGTCGCTAGAAAAGTAGACCAAAAACTATCTTATGTTTTTGAAATCTGTGTCTTGCATGAAAACAATACTCCCTTTTCTCAGTAATCAATTAAATGTAAATCTTTATGTTGACATGTCATTGATAATATTTTCTGAGTGGTAATACAGTCTTTCATAGATGGTGTCAGTAGAGGTTAGCGTGGGTTTAACAGTGGAGACGCTCTCAAACCACACTGCCCTTCAGGTTTCAGTCTGTGTTGTCTCAAAGTTATTTGACTCGGGTACACAGCAGAAGGCTCCCATAGGTTCTGAACTGAAAGACACATAAGATACTTTTACACACTGCTTTTCCTCTCAAAGGAGCTTTGTTAAGGTCTTAAAATTTTGCTTTATTGCAAACATTAAAAATTCCACGCAAAACTAAAAATATCTTGAATTAGATGATAGTCACAAAGTATTCAAGTAAGCTGTCTATTTTTAATATTTTAATATTTAAGCTTCATAGAACTGAATATGTATGTTTGAATATTAAACATCAGAAAATGTTGCAGTAGTTGATTTGAATCTAACCTAACACTTTAGGTGTTAGATCTTCTAGAAGAATTGAGTTTCTGGTCAATTTAAACCAGGAAACTGTGATGCTAGGGCAAAGGAAAAATGAAAAAATAAAACAAAAAATATTGGCAGGAAAGCTTATAGTTGTTTGTCAAGGAGATAACTTTTTGGATGCAGTCATTGAAATTAAAGAGGAATCCTTCATGTCTAGTGGCAGAATCTTGTCCTAAACAACAGTACTCTTTATAAGCCTGCTGAAAACTGAGTATGCTTGGTTTCATCAGCACGGTGTGTACCTCTAGGGATATGAGTCTTCACAATGGCAACAACACCTTAGCTTTTATTCAGTTCTTTTTAGGCATGTCATGCTGTAGTATATCAGATTGCCACATGGATAAGAGTCATTCCAGCCATGTGACATTACAGGTGCAAACTCAGGGCCATAAACCTTCTTTCTATGGTATTCCAGACTCATTGGATCGAATGCTCATTGCGAGTTGAATGAGAGATTAGTTCACCCAGACCTTTTCCAATATTCTACTCTAGACAAGAACATGCTTCGATGAAGCAGAAGTGAACTTGCATTTTAGCATTGGAAATGTTGATTGTGGCGTCACAGACTTCTAGGTCTTGTGGGCACCATTCTTAGTTCTTTCTCCTGCTTCAAGCACTTCTGTCATCCACCACAGAGTTGGCTCCTAAGTTGTAAAAAAAAAAAAAAATAATCTCTAGTCCGTGTCTTCATTTAGTAATACATTCCAGATGAATATGGCAGTATAACCCAAGCTTAATTTTTCTTTAGAATCATTTGACTGACACTGGCATCTGAAGGTCACTTAGGAGCCCGGGTTGTGTCAGTTACATTTCATTCTGAGTCCATGTCTGGTCGTGAATGGAATGCACTTGGCCTTGTGTTGTCATCCTGATGAAAGGACTCCCTGTGCTGACATTGGCCTAAAACGTTTGTTTTAACATGAGGGGGGCTGCAGTGAGATCTGATTGGGGCAGGCCAACTGGCGGCCAGGCAAGGTCGCACAGCATGTCAGCCCTGGTGAAATGACCACAGTTCAGAGACTGTTCTTCAACCCTCTGGTCATATATTCATCTTTGTCAGTACACAAAGACAGATGCACTGACTAAAACTTCCCAAACTTACAAGGAGCTGATGTATAAACCAGAAAGCTTGGGTATTCACTTAGAATACCCAAGAAAATTTTCCTGTCATGTTATCATATCTGTACATCATTACCTCCATATTGTTTGTCTCTACTTGGCATTATATATTTGTTTATGCTGTTTTCCCCCTTCTAAGATTATAGCTTGGTCACCTTGATAATAGTTTTAATTATTTCAGTTCACAATTGCCTCCCACTGATGGATAATCCAGTTTTTATTGGTTCGATTCTGAAAAAGTAACTTTCTTCATCTGTAAGGTGGCCACTTCTCTGTTGTCCACTAGAACATTGCGTATAATGTATAGTCAAGATGTGGGTTTTGGGGGCTCTATACCTCAAGATCATACAGACACCAAGTAGCAGAGCCGATGTTTTGTTCCTTTATATCATGTTACATTTCTTTGCTAAAAATTTCTCTGAGAATTAAGCATTGTTTACAACTAATTAGACTAATGTATCATGTATAAAAGTCATTCAATAAATGTTTTTTTACATTTAATTTGATTTAAAAAAATAACATAGACTAGGGGCTGGCCCTGTGGTGTAGTGGTTGGGTTTGGCGCACTCCTGGTTCACGGGTTCAGATCCCAGGTGCAGACCTACACCACTCGTCAGCCATGCTGTGGCGGCGTCCTACATACAAGATAGAGGAAGATTGGCAACAGATGTTAGCTCAGGACAACTCTTCCTCAGCAAGATAGGTAGGTAGGTAGGTAGGTAGATACATAGATAGATCAGTCAGTAAGTAAATAAGTAAATAAATAAGTAATTTAATTCATTAAAAAAAAAAACATAGACTAAACTTTAGACGAGATGGAATCAGAATGTCGTGTATTCCATTCCAGTGCATTTGGGCAAAACTTCCTTTCCTCCTTCCTTCCAATTCTTCCCTCCCTCCCTCTCTCCTTCAGTAAACATATATTGAATGCCAGCTCTGTATCAGGCGCCATGACTACCATAACACATAAAATCCAGACTCTAACATTCTCTAGAGTTCACGGGACAATGGGAAGAGATGTACAAAGCAGCCCAAGATTACAGTCGAGTTGCCTGTGAAACAAGAAAGAGCAATATCTTGACTCCTCCTGTAAAGCTTAGCTTAGAATGAGTCTTAGAAGATGAAATGGTGGTCATCACACAGAGAAGGAGCTTTTCCAGTTGAGGAAAGAAGGCGTGTGAAAAGGAATCGCACAGCTAGAGCATATGGATTACATGTGAATGTGGGTTGTTTCGGGCGTAGGGCTAGAAAGACAAGTAGCATTCAGACCAGGAAGAGCCCTGAATATCATCACACAAAACTGGGACATGATCCTATCAGTATCAGGGAGATGAAATTTAAGAGGGGCAGTGCCGTGATCTGATTTTGAGTGTAGAAATATCTCTCATGTGGAAGACCTCCAAGGTCTTCAAGTGGCCTCCAAGGCCTTGCGTGCTCTGGCTGCAGCCTGTATCTTCTGCTTCACGTGACTGTCCTTGCTTCCTCTCTCACTGCCCTCTAACCACAGTGGTTCTCTTTGATTCCTTAACAAGGCCAAGTGCTTTCTTCCTTCTGGGTCTTTGAAGGCACAGCACATTTTAAATGAACAACCCTGCACATTCCCTCTGTTCGAAACGCTTTTCCACCCCACTCTTTATAGCTAGCTCCTTTTCTTTGCTAGGTTTCAGGTTAAGTGTCACCTCAAAGAAGCCCTCTCAGATTCCCCTTCCCTAATTTGTTACCCTCAGTTAATTCTTTTATATTTTACATAGCACTTAATATTTTATTGGTTCATCTACTTATGTTTTCATTTACATCTACCACCAGAATATACGTTCCAAGAGGGAGATTGCTCACTGATGTGTCCCTAGCACCTTGTACTGTGCCTGGTACCTGGGTGATGATCATCAAGTGTATGTCGAACGAATAAACAAACATAATATTGAAGGCAGATAAATCTGTGAGAAAGGAACTGTGACTGTTGAGATAATAAATGTCAAAGGCCAGAACTAAGGCTGTATCTGTAGAAATGTAGATGAGGAGACTATATACAATGGATTTTTGGAGAGAGAATTGCTACAGTTAGCCACATCAGATGCAAGCAGTGATGGAGAAGAAGTCTTATTGGTACCTTGGGTTTCTGCCTTCAAAAGAATGTACATAATGGTGCCAAAAATATAAACTGAAATTGTACGAGGAAAAGCATGGGAAGAAGCAGAAAGGTCAATTCTGTTTTGGAAGATTTGAGTCTGAGATGATTGGAGATATTTAAGCTGAAGTGTTCAAGGAGCATCTGAAAATTCTAGCCTGATGCTAAGTAGATAGGGCTAGGT